TGTCTGTGCACGTGTGTTCATATCAACTGATGCTATTCAGTTAGGAGTCCTGAAGATCTGGCTTTGTAGGATGATATATATTGACTCTGCCATTTGGTGAGTAATTTTTTTCCCTGAACTTCAGATATTAAGTAGATAAGTTGAAATTTCAGCTTATGTTTTAAGGTTCTTGTTGGTGCTACAATTTAAAGATTGTATATTTATGGTATTGTAGTTGTAATATAACAAGCTGGACATTCCTGGGATTGTATTTCAGAGATGTTTATAATGACTTTGTCTCCTTGAGTATATGTCATTTATTTGGAGAATATAGCATATGAAGCATCTTTAAAAATCACAGAGAAATGATGAATTTAGTATAGTCAATGTGTTTACTGTACCTGTAAAAGTTCCTTACTTATTCCCTCCTTTCCTCTTCCTCCATGGGAGATGTTATATGTGGTTACCAGGAACATGTTACTATCCTCTTTAAAATCTTCAAATGGCTCTCAGTTTCCGGGCGTTGGTGGCACACGCCTTTAATCCCAGCACTCGGGAGGCAAAGGCAGGCGGATCTCTGTGAGTTCGAGGCCAGCCTGGCCTCCAGAGCGAGTGCCAGGATCGGCTCCAAAGCCACAGAGAAACCCTGTCTTAAAAAACCAAAAAAGACTCTGTTTCCCTTTATAATCTCATCTCTGATTCATTAAAATATTGTATTTACTTGTGTGTGTACATGTATATATTTCATGGCATATGTATGGACGTCAGAGGACAACTCCCTCAAGTCACTTTTCTCATTCTGCCATGGGGATTTTGCTCAGGTTGCCAGGCCACTGAGCTATCTCTCTGATCTTAGGCTTCCTTTTAAAAATGTCATCTTTAGCTGTGTCCCTGTGTTTATCCTGACAGGTACCCTTGACGCTTCCTAAGGATATTTTTTTTTCTTGAATCCTTCTAAATCAAGCAAGAAAAGAGAATACTCTTTTCTTCTTTGGTGGCCCAGCAAGTACTTCTAAGTATCCATCTTGATTAACTTTCATGTTGCAGAAAGAAGCTCTCCCATGTCAGTCTTTCCATTCCCTGTTGCCCTACTACCATATTTTTAACATTTTAGAATAAAGCTCTTCCTTGTCTCCTTTTGCAAATCAACACAGCTTTTTCTTTCAAGAAACTGAGTCTAAAGGGGAAAAAGATAGATGACAACAGACAAGTATATTTAACAGATAGAGGTCCCCAAGAGGCTGTATTGTTATAGCAGATGGAGAGACTAGCAGCTGTGCATGGATCCCAGAGGGTGTTCAAAGGTGATGCTTTGAGATTAAGTTCTATGGATAGATCTAGAGTATGTCTTCTTTCATGGCCATTTTTTGCCCATTTGAACTGTCAACTTCTGTTGCCAAGAAGTAAACTATAGTAATCCCTTCTACAGGAAATGAGGAAGGTTTAATTTAAAGTTGAAACAGGAGGTATGCATTATGGAGATTTGTTTTGTCCTATTTTACTTTATTTAATATTTTGCAACTAAAGAGAGAGATGAACCAACAATATATAAAATCACCCGAGTTAAAAGACAGCTTCAAAGGGCTTATGTGTCATAGGCTCATTAATCTCCAAAAGGTGGGAGGAGTATATTTGCTGGTAAAATAGGCAGGTAGAAATTTCATAGAGGTGCTATAGACAGTAGAATTCTCATATAACCTATTTAAGTATTGTGATTACTTAGAGATTTTAACATTAGTTTAAAAATGAGTGTTGGAAAAGCTGGAATGAAATTGGAAAAATGGAATATACAATGAAGTAGGTCTGCATGGCCTTTTCTCTTTTGTTTCTTTAACACTGATTGCGAGCTGAAATAATAGCATTTGAGGCCCCGCTGCTGTTTTTTTTTACCATTGCTGTTGCTTTTCATTTTTTATATTTATAAAGTTTACTTAAAAAACAAACCTGAAGCTGCCTATTATTGGGATATAACTACAACCTCATCCTCAGGTCATACTGATTCTGGCTGTATGAATATCTTGCCCATATTCACTCCACATCTTTTGCATAAAGCCTGACTTAATTCTGACTCCCCAGACCACCTCCCATTTCCACTGGATGCCTTACTGGAATTCCTGTAGCTCTTTCTTTTACACATGTTGTTCCTTTCTATTTGTTGATTTATATGACTTTACATATTCCCCAAGGGCTTTTTAAAAATGACATTCCTATTTTACTTTATAGCAATTTACATATTTGAACAGTAGGTGCTTTCATTGTTTGGGTTTGTCTTTCTGCGTCCACAGGACAGATTCTATGTTTTATAGAAGTCATACATTTATAAGAAAATGGGTCCAGTTTCAGACTCTGTTGGTGCATAAGGCCTGTATGATCTTGAGTAATTTACAGATCATATATGAACTTCAGACTTCCCATTTTGAAATGAAAATACTAAGTTCAGGATAGGTTTCAGTGGACTATTTGTATTTAATATACTCAAACTATAATACTTCAGTCATATGTCCAGTTTATCCTTTCATTAATTATGATTGTTATGTAAACATGTTTTGAAAGTATAAAACATAGCAATAACTTTTTAAACTAAAATTAAGATCATGAAGTATTTTTTTCTAAGCATACAAGATATATGCTGTTTGTAGGTTTAAAGGTATGGGTGCAATTATTTCTTGGTCAAGAATGATGGGAAGGCTAGGCAGTGGTGACACACACCTTTTATCCCAGCACTCAGAAGACAGAAGCAGGTGGATCTCTGACAGTTTGAGGCTGCCCTGGTCTCCAGTGCTAGTTTGAGGACAGCCAGGTATTCACAACATAGTGAGACCCTGTCTCGGAAAAAAATGGTGGGAAGGATTTTTCTGAAAATTCAAAAAAAGGCTTTATCTCTTTATTGGAAGCTGTATGTTATTTGGTGTGTATTATTGCTAGGCTTTGAGAAAAATGCAAAACAACACCAGCAGCAACAACAAAAACAATAGAAACCCTCCTATGTGGTCTCAAGTTAATACTGACACATTAATTTTAAAGTCACTAAAATAGTTGAAGATTTTCTATAGATTCTGTCTATGATGGGAAAATGATAAAATGTCTTCCATTACCTCTCTAAAAGTTGCAGAGAATTTGGGGTCAAATAGAGGTAGAACTGGGTAGAACTGAATGATGAATTTGGGGGATTCTAGTTCTAATAAATGTGGTAGAACTTTGTGTTTTGGTAGAATATGTTTTATTGTTTAATCACACCTCAAATAAAACAGATTTAGATAATTGACTTGATTTCCTGCAAGCCAGGAATCCTTTATCCACACACATAAAAGTAAGCATTCTTCTAAAAACCACATGATCTTCTCACTAGATGCTGAAAAATCCTATAACAAAATCCAACACCCCTTCATGATAAAGATCTTGGAGAGAACAGGAATAACAGGAACATATCTAAACATGATAAAAGCAATATACACCAAACCAGAAGCCAACATCAACTGAATGGAGAGAAACTCAAAGTGATTCCTCTAGAATCAGGAACAAGACAAGGCTGTCCACTCTCTCCATATCTCTTCAATATTGTACTTGAAGTTCTAGTTTGAGCAATCAGACAACAAAAGGAGATCAAAGGTATACAAATTGGAAAGGAAGAAGTCAAACTTTCAGTATTTGCAGATGATATGCTAGTCTACATATGTGACCCAAAAAACTCTGCCAGGGAACTCCTACAGCTGATAAACACCTTCAGCAAAGTAGCTGGATACAAAATTACCTCAAAAAAATCAGTAGACATACTTTATACAGATGATAAATGCAATGAGAAAGAAATCAGAGAAACATCACCCTTCACAATATCCACAAACAATATAAAATATCTTGGGGTAATGCTAACCAAAAAAGTAAAAGACCTGTGCAGTAAGAACTTTGAGTCTTTAAAGAAAGAAATTAAAGAAGATACCAGAAAATGGAAAGATCTCCCATGCTCTTGGATAGGTAGAATCAACATAGTAAAAATGGCAATCTTGCCAAAAGTAATGTACAGAGTGAATGCAATCCCCATCAAAATCCCAACACAGTTCTTCACAGACTTTGAAA